ATGGAAGTGCGCAACCCGCTGTTCGACCACTCCTCGCTGACCGCACCCCTGCCGCCTCCACCGCCCCCGCAGTGACCGGCAGACCGTGCCCACCCCCTGAGGACCCCACGGCGCACGGGTGGGAGCCAGGGACCCGCATTTCCCAATAAAGAAACCACGTTCTGACCCTTGGCCGTTCTTGTGGCTGGACTGGGGCGCCCGCCGGAAACCCCTTGTGGGGACAGGACACTTCTGTTCCCCCTGCACCTGTCCCCTAGGTGTGGACCCCCAGAGGAGGGCGGGGGGCACCCTGAGGCCAGCATGGATGGGGATGCGGGAGACAAGCCCCTTAAAGCGCTTTCAGATCTGGGCTTTGGTGCTGGAGACACACCCTCGGCCTCTGGGGTCACGGGGGTGGGCCTGAGGCCTCAACCACCCCAGAGAGAGGGGCACCTCTGGGCCCTGCTGGGGGCAATCCTTGCCACCCCATCCTTCTCCTCTAGGCCTCACCCCTCTGACACGTCTGCCTCAAGGGGGGTGGGGAGGGTGCAGGGCCAGGCAGATCTGGAGTTGCTGCTGCCCCCTTAAAATCCCTTCCCGCGTATGACATAAAGGGCTGGGTAGCCCGGCCGGCCTGGCTGAGTGGGTGAGCATCCACCTAGGAACCAGGAGGTCATGGTTCAGTTACACTCAGGGCACAGGCCCGGTTGCAAGCTCGATCCCCGGTGTGGGGCGTGCGGGAGGCAGCCGGTCCATGATTCTCCCTCGTCATTGATGTCTCTATATCTCTCCCTCTCCCTTCCTCTCTGAAATCAATCCTATATAATAAAGCCCTAATATGCAAATTAACCAAACGGCAGAACGACCAGTTGCTGTGATGCGCACTGACCACCAGGGGGCAGACACTCCACGCAGGAGCTGTCCCCTGGTGGTCAGTGCGCACCACTCAGCCAGAAGCCGACCTCTCCCGCCTCTGCTAAGTCAGTTGGACATCCCCCGAGGGCTCCTGGACTGTGAGAGGGCGCAGGCCGGGCTGAGGGACCCCCCCCACCAGTGCACATATTTCATGCACCGGGCCTCTAGTAAAAACATATTTGAAAAAACAACCCAGAAACTAAAGTAGCCATTATAAAGAACCTGCGAGGTTCCTGAGGGTGGGGCCTGGAGATCGCTGGCCCGCTGGCCCTAGGTGATGGGGGCAGCCCTGAGGGGACAGGGGGGCCCCAGAGGAGGGACAGGTGGGGTCGGGCAGGGGGTCGGGTGGGCCCTTGCTTAGAGCTAATGGTTGTTCTAAAGCAGCAGGCTTCTCGGACCAGAGCCCACCCAGGCTGGGACGTCCCTCCTGCCCCGGACCCCTGGCCTGTGGCCTCGGGCGGCCCTCAGCCATGGGAGGAGGCGGTGCCAGGGGTGGGCGCCCGGGTGGGATGAGGGTGGGTGGTGCCCGCTGCTATCTCACATGTGCCATCAGGGAGGTAAAACGGGGTGCGGAGAGCTGCAGGCCTCCGGGCAAAGGTCGCCTGGCACCCGGCGGGTCCGGCCCAGGCCCGTCCGTCTCGCCGGCTTGATCCTGCAGACCCGGAGCCAGGAGGTCCCGGGAGCTCTGGGTCAGTCCTTGGGGTCCTGACACTCACCTTTCCAACCTCCTGCTGCCCCGGCCGGGACAGAGCAGCCACCTGTATGTCCTGTCTTCTCCCTCCTCGGGGCCCCTCCCTGTCCCCCGAGTCCCTGCTGCCCAGCAGAGAGGGTGCCCCGTCCAGTGGCAGCTGCTATGAGAGGAGCCGGCAGGCCTGGGGCAGGGGAGTGAGCAGGGGCTGCGGTCCTCTGGGCAGGGGGCCTCCCTCAGCCCACGGCCTGGCACAGGCCCTGAGCAGCTCAGCACCCGCTGCCCGCCTGGCTCCCAGCGGCTCATTGGCCCCAGGCTCACTCAGAGCCAGCCCTGCTTTTAAAAATGTATATTTTTATTGATTTCAGAGAGGACGGGCAAGGGAGAGAGAGAAACATCAATGACGAGAGAGAATCAACAATTGGCTGCCTCCTGCTCGCCCCACACTGGGGATCGAGCCCGCAACCTGGGCATGTGCCCTGACCACAAGCTGGGGGAGTGGGGGGCTGCCCTGCGGCCAGGGTTTAGGGTTCAGGGAGGCCCTGGTGCCACCGGGACTCCGGAGACCCAAATCCTGACCAACTCCGGATTCTGAGTTCCCCGGCGGCAAACCTGCCCCCACCCCAGGAGTGGGTCTTGGGGCTCAGTACAGAGCAGGAGGGGTGAGCCAGAGTCGGGCACATCTGGGAGGTCCCTGGAGGAGCCTCAGCAGGTCCCGGGGCTCCTCACGGACAGGCTGTGGCTGTGTCCCAAGCCTGGGAGCCGGGGAGGGAAGGCACAGGAGGGGAGGGGCTGGCGCCTGCAGGACACCCTGGGCCCAGGTGGTCCCGTGGCTCCTGGCACCACCCAGTGCTGCCCCCTTGGCTGCACCTCAGCCTCAGTGCACCCACCTTCCTGAAGGGCGGCCCTGAACCACCCCCCCACTCCCCCCACCCCCTCTCTCCTCCTGAGAAACCTTCCCTCGGGCTCCCTCTGCCGCCTTCACTCCCTCGGAGCCAGGCAGCTCTGGGCACGGCCACCAGGGGGCCCCGGGCATGAGTCTGCACTCTGCCCTGTGCCGGCCAACCCCCAGGGCAGCTGGGCAGCTGGGCAGCTGGGCGCTGGCCCTCTCTCCCGGGGTGCCCCTGGGTCTGGGGCTGCAGTGTGTCGTCTGCCAGGGGTGGTGACCAGGGGCAGCTGCCCGCCCTCTGTGTGGGCCCAGCCCCTGGTTTCAGCTGCAATTGGTGCCCCCGGGAGGGCTCAGTGGCAGCGTGACGGGGGTGGGGGAGCTGTGAGCCGAGTCGGTGCCGCCTGCACCCCAGTGCGTCATAAGGTCGGGGAGGAGCTGGCATGAGGGGGCCCCCACTTTCCCTTTGACTCAGGCCTCTCACCTCTCTCCAACCAGGGCCTCTCGTTCTGACCTGTTTCTGGGCCAAACCTCGAAGCCCGTTTCACAGGCGGCAGGTTCCCACGGGGCAGGGCGGGCGCAGGCCCTGGGGGGGGGGC